CCCCAAAACCCCAAAACCCCACATTATCATATCTCTATAAAAATTCAAACTTAAAATACTGTATTCATACTTTACACTAATATTGATGTATAATAATATAGTTTTACTCATTGAGTTTTCCTCTCTTGCATTAAAACGAAGAAGTATTCACATTCAAGGACACCTTCTTCCTTGACATCTGTACAATGAACAGCATTTCTTACTCTATCTATTCCAAACAGTTATCTTAATGTGTTCTACTCTCCTTTCCCTAATCCTACCTTTGGATCGTAGCATCCGCATACTGCTTTCAAACCTTGAATTACATTGTCTTGCCTAACCTCTAGGGCGATAGTTGGACCACTGACCATTTAATCTATCATTAGAGAGTATTCAGGTAGAACTCCTTTGTATAATTCAAAAAACTCTTCAGCAGTTGCTCTGTCAAGGAAAAATGTTTGCATTGCACTGATTTCAAACCCCTCTTCAAGCACTCTGTCTATGATTCTACCAGCTTAGCCAGACTGGATGACATGAGGCTTTATCAACAATAAGGAGCAGTTATTTAAGATTGCAGGTTGACAGTATTTATACTTATCATTGAAGAAGATGTCAATTTCAGACTTGTACCTCTGCTCATCTTAAGCAACATGAATAGCATTCTTTAGACCGTCAGATCCGAAAATTGCTCTAATAGTGCTTCTATCTTGACCAGTTCCCAATGAGTAGGAATTTCCACTTCCTGCTAAGGCTTTTAGTCTCTCAATCGAATTATCCCCAACTAATTCAAGTCCAACTACTAAATCAGAGGTAAGAAATCTTTAGAGCTCTCTAAAATACGCCTTTAGTGCTTGCTCTGGGTAAAGAAGTTGTACCATTTCTTCATTTAAGCGAAGCATAAGCATTCTATTAATCTGAAATCCATTATTTAGGATTATATCTAAAATTTTTCCAATGTTTGTGTAAGCATCTGGTTTAATTATAGCAAAGGTTCGTTCTTTTTTTGAGAATAGCATTTCTTTAGTTACTTAATCGGCGAATTCCACTATTTTGAATCTCCTTCCATAAACATCAAGAGTATTTCCTATGTAGAGATCTTGTAAAGTTATTGCATCATGTTTAATTTTCTTTAAAAATAGCTTCTTCGTTTTGAGATCAATTATTTCAAGAGCATTTTCAATTGGATAGAAAATAAATCTAAAGGGTTTTTCTATGCAAGCTAGTTTATCGTACCACTCAGCTATGAAAGCCATACTATCATCAGATGAACTCATTTTCTTTTATTATTTCTCTGAATAATTCAATTTTGCTTTGAATTTAGGAGCTATGGGGTTTTGGGGTTTTGGGGTTTTGGGG